GTAGGGAAAAAAGGAATAAAAGAATATGAAACTATGTGGCCCACATAGCCTAAAATATTCACTGTCAGGCCATTTATAAAAAAAAGTTTGCTGACCCTTGCTCTATACAGTCAAACTCAAGCCTCAATTTAATAGTAAATAATTCTAAACTAGTAAACTACCAACTGTGTAAACAAGTCAAGATGGAAGAACACACAGATATATCACTGAATATACTTCAGGTGGTTGACATTTATTTAACATGTTGAAACATACCAACTTACCTAAATGACCTTAAAAGCAGCCTCTTAAAGAAAAATACAGACCAACAATAAAAATGTTTCAGTTAAAAATAAAACTCCTTAAAAGAGAGTAACCATAAAAATTACAAGATTTGCTTTTTAAATGCAGAAGCTAAACCAAAATGTGCACCATTCAATTCCACAAAGATATCAGGAGGATAACTGAGATAATTTAAGGTAAATCAGTAAAGGCTTCAAAATATAGTTAAATGTGATTAGGTATTTTCTGAATGCCTGAAAAACCAGTTATCACCCTCAACAAAATGTTCAAAGAGGGCCTCCCTGGTGGCGCAGTGGCTGAGAGTCCGCCTGCAGATGCAGGGGACACGGGTTCGTGCCCCGGTCGGGGAGGATCCCACATGCCACAGAGCGGCTGGGCCCGTGAGCCATGGCCGCTGAGCCTGCGCGTCCGGAGCCTGTGCTCCGCAATGGGAGGGGCCACAACGGTGAGAGGCCCGCATAACGCAAAAAAAAAAGAAAAAAAAATGTTCAAAGAAATCCAAATACCATAAAAGGTACATTTAGCTCAGCCAAAGGCACAGCTAAGCTCTAATGATTTACAGTCCAAGAAATCCAAATAGAACTGTAAAAATTAGGGGAGCATTTGCAGTTACATCAAATTGCTTATCTGAGAACTGTTTAGTAAATAAAAACAATTGCCACTTCCCAAATTGTGAATAAGAATTATTACTTACACTTTTAATAGTTCTTCATGAGGGGGAAAAGAAGATGCCTATTAAAACAGTCAAATGTTATTTTCAAACAAAGCTTTCTAGAAGACTTCAAAAGAATTAAATCTGTTCTCAGACATAAACTGAGACAACACCAAAGGTAAAAATATCATCTATTCTATATGCCATCAAAAAGTACTTTTAATAAAAATATGTACATATTTATACAATGTACTGAGTGCTAAATCAAATCTTCATTGTCACTATATTCTTAAACTCATTTAACAAACATTAATAAATTTCCTATCATGTGCAAAGCACTGAGTTAATAACTTAAATTTTCATAATGCACAATTCATATTTGACTACACTGAGCTTCCAAAAGTCAAAAAAAATACCATTAATGAAGGAAAAGTATGGAAAAGTTAACTTGCACGTAACAAAAATTTAATTTTACATAATACGTAAAGGTACATAGCCCTTCACATATGGTATTTATTCCTGATGACTACAATCTCCCAAACGAAACTACTATAAGCTTCTTGTCGACAAGGACTCTAATTCTTTTGTCCTTCAAAATACTTTCGAGTTTATCCATATACATTCATAAAATAAATTAATTTAAAGAATATTTTGGTTAACATTATTTTTTTTAAAAATCACACATTTTATTTTTACCAAGCAGAATTATACTCTGAAAAAGTATTTTAAATGGTGGTAAACTATTACTTATAATATTACACATTTCTTAGTTTCTCTCCAATTATAGATGTTTTGTTTGTGGAAAGGGGAAGTAGGGTATACACATGTTTTTAAGCTGATCTTTACATGATTTTATCTGACTTGCTAAGAAAGGCATTCTAAAGGATCTGAAGACATACACACACAGATACATAACAGAGCTGGAATACAGATAGTAATGTTATTTGTGTATACTTTATAAATTATAGATTATCTTATCTTGGCTATAGCATAGCAAACTGCTTTGTTTTTTAGGAAATTTGATAAACACTTATAAATGAAACAACACATACTTTATTCTCAATGAAAAGGCAAAATGGTAATACTTACGGTCATGAGTCATAAAATTTTTTACCACATAAATAAAAGGCAAGGCATCTAACAGTACCTACCTGTTGGCAGTTCTGCTGCTTAAGCTCCTCAATTTGGGATTTAAACAATTTGTTTTCATCTTGTACTTCCTATTTAAACAAAAATTAAACACGATCACATGGACAGAGCTTTTATTTTCCATATAAGCTTTAAAACGTATCATACAAACCAGGCAAATTCTTCAACAGTAACAATTTTTAAAGGGTGTAATAAGCCCTATATTAAAATACATTATAATTGAGAGTCCGCCTGCAGATGCAGGGGACACTGGTTCGTGCCCCGGTCCGGGAGGATCCCACATGCCGTGGAGCGGCTGGGCCTGTGGGCCATGGTCGCTGAGCCTGCGTGACTGGAGTTTGTGCTGCGCAATGGGAGAGGCCACAGCAGTGAGGCCCGCATACCGCAAAAAAAAAAAAAAAAAAAAAAAAAAAGTGTGTGTGTGTGTGTGTGTGTGTGTGTATATATAAAATTAGAATAATCCAATTATTCAGTACTAGCCTGGGAGTGGGTATGTCTCAATGGAAGAAAACAGGATCCAGAAACAGACCCAAACACATGTCAGAATTTACTACAGGGTGACACCTCAGATCAGTAGGGCAAGTCCTACTGGTATTTTGGGCCGTATTTTCTTTATTGTGAGGGCCGCCCACATACTGTAAGATGTTCAGCAGCATCCACAGCCTCCATTTACTGGATGCAGTAGCACCCCTCCGCCAGCTGTGATAACCAAAAATGTCTCCAAATATTACCAAATGTTCCAGGCAGGGGACAGAGCCACTGCAGTCAAGTAATAATCGATTATTTAATAATGTGGCTAGTCTTTTATTTTTTTAAGGTTGAAATGCTATTCTTATAACTTACTCCAATAAATTACATGTGAATAAAACATCTAAGCAAAAAAAATAAATTATAAGCATAGTATTAGAAGAAAACACGTGAAAACATTTTTATGATCATAGGGTGAGAGACAACTTTCATTTCAAGACTTCAAACTCAGCAAACTACTTAACATTTCAGTACATAAAAATTTCCAAAGTGGAGGGCGGGAATTAAGTCAAAAGAAAAACTAAAATAAATCACCTCACATGACAAGAAGGCTAACTTCCCTTACTATGTTAAAAGGATCTTATAAATTAGTAAGAAAAAGTCAACCCAGAGGGGAAAATGTAGGAAAAATTACAGGCCAATTCATATACAAATGATGAGTACTTAACTTCTCTATCAAATGCAAATTACAATAATCTGACCATCTTTCAAGCATAATATCAAATGTTTTCATCTTCATCAGTGTTGAAGAGGATGAAAAGGAAGTGGCTCTCTGTTGGAGAGTGTAATTTAGTTGTTGTAGTTTGGTTGTTTAATTTAGTGCAATTTAGTTTAGTTGTAATTTAGTCTGTTGGAGAGTATAAATTAGTAAAAACACTTTGGAGGACAATTGAGCATTATATAACAAAATTTAAAATGAACCTACTTGGGAAGGAAAGGGAATGTGACAGAACCAACCCTTGGAGCATGAAATGTGAGCACAAGTATCTGAGACAGTGCAGACATCTAAAATTTCCTATTACTTCAAAACAATGTTTTGTAAGGACTTTCAATACTACCTACATGAAGATGAAGAGATACTATTTTCTATTTTAACTATCACTTTCAAGAAGGAAAAAAACCCCTCTGCATAAAACCCAAAATCTCACTTGTAGGAATTATAAATACAGATATAGTATAGTAGCATAAGTACTGAAAATGTGTGTGTAAGGATATTCACCATAGAACTGTTGTTAACAGGAAACACAACTCTAAATAATCTAAGTATCCATAAACCAGAACTGGTTGTATAAATGGTAATACAATCATACAAAAGAATACCATGAAGCCATTCAACGTTAAAGACAAAAATGTGCTTATGTGGAAGGACCTCAAAAACATTATTAATTGGGTGGGGGGAGCAAAATACAAAATTGTGTATGATTAAATACAATATGTTTAAAAACTATTAAGTACACACACACACACACATTTTATGCATGGGTGCTTGCTCAAAAGATATATAAATAATTGATAGTAGTTATCTCTGAGGAATGAGACCCAGTATCCGCGTAGGAGGGAATGTCATTTTGCATTCAATTTTCTTTTGTAGTAGTTAAAACTGTTTTCAAACATGCAAAGACAGTAACTCACATGATAATTTTAAGTATAAACATATTTACCTGTAACAGCTTTGTTTTTCTAGAAAGATCACTCTCCCTTTCTTTTAGCACAGTTTCTAATTTCTTCATTTCATTTTCCTTTTCTTTCAACCTAGAATTTTTACAAAGACGTTATATTTAGTTAGGTGAATCGGTGGAGCACAGGAGAATTTTAGGACAGTAAAACTTTTTTTATAATACTGTAATGATGGATACATGTCATCATACATTGGTCAAAAACCCCTAGAATGTACAAAGAGCGTGAACACTAATGGATAATATGGACTTTAGTTAATAGTAATATATTGATTTGCTTCATCAGTTGTAACAAATTACCACACAAATGCAAGAGGTAAAGAAGAAGAAAAATGGGGAAGGAAGGTATATAGAAATTCTCTACTGCTCTCTCAATTTTTTCTGTAAACCTAAAAATGCCCCCCCAAATATTATATTAATTTTCTTTAATGTGAGGTAGAAATAAATCTAAAATCATACTTTAATGATCTATATACCTACTACAAATAGGCCTCAAACGTTGTCTCTAAGCTTTCTATTAGCAAATGATAGAAAAGCACCTTGACAGTTATATAATGCCCATAAGATAAACAGTTAGTTGTACATACGAGCAATCTTAGTGCCAATAAAGACATCTCCTTTTTCACCATAAAGATAATGACCTAATAAATATCTTCAATATCTTACTTTTTTAAAGACACAGTTTCAAAGGGCCACTTCTTAAACATCAATAAAGACTGATGAGATTACATCAAAGGAAAAATCTCTTAAAATTGATAGAAGGCCAAAACAATGAAGTACAGATACCTTTCTTACCACTGTAGGCTGATTTAGTTTAAGAAAACAGACTTCATAGGATAAAAATTTTCTAGGATAACATCTATTAAGACTGATATCTTCACACACACACAAAAAAAACTGCTATCTCCTATGCTCATCAGATTCACTATTTTTACTAATTGGCACAGCATTAACTGATACAACAACAGATACTATTTTCCCCCAAAGGCAAGTTACTTTTATAGAAAGATTCAATATTCATTATCAAGATTATGGCTAAGATTATCTTCTGGTTAATTCAGAGATGTTATTCTTTGAAATACTAAAAATGATTTTGATTTGAAATAAATTTAACCTCTCTTTATAATAATTACTTCATTTAGGAAGACAGAGAGAGAGAAAACTTAAATAAAACCAACCAGTCTATATTAGCAAAAAGAGTACCTCAGAAAATGCATTTGAAGGAATTGGGAAAGATAAAAGTCTCCAGGTATCAGAAAGCATTTGAAAGGCCTCTGTTTTATTATACCAAACAGATTTAACTTATTTGCCCCTGGACTATAATTCCTACTTAACAAGAAAGTTAATAACTTAGACGAAACTCATCATAATATTCAAGGACAGTCTAGAAAATATTGAGAAGTTCCTCTTTAAAATGCTGGCTAAAAGTATACTTACACAATCTCAAGTTCTTCAAATCGTGAGGCAGAACACGCCTAAGAAACAGATACACATTTTTAATTATAACATGAAAAAGATCAGGTTCTACAATATATTATCTATAGAATCACTCACCAGTAAAATAAAAACACAATTATATGTGGTAAATTTAAGATTGGGCCATTCATAAAACAAAGAATGGATTTTCTTTATTTGACTTAATTGTTAATATCCATTTGTTAAAGGATTACAGATTAATACACCAATTAAACACAGACTTAAAAATGAGAACAAGAGTCCATCTGAAAAAGTAAGGAGAGGAAATTCTTTCAGACTTAGGTTGACAAATGAGGCAGTAGTAGACTTGACAGGGATGAAAGTTATTTTATCAACAACAAAACAACGATACAACAGTAATTTTTATGGCAAAAAACTCAGAGAACATATTAACTTCTTTACGTCCTAGTACAGTAAAATAAAGATTCCTCATGTTTTATAAAATATGCTGGTAATCTGTTTATACTATACCTCTCGCAAGTTATGTTGTGCTACCTCCTGAACGTGAGCTTTCAAAGATTCATTTTCTTCTTGAAGATCCTGAAAAAGAATAGGTCTAAATAAAAGTGATATTCAAGTATAAAAAAGGTGTTTACTATTGTTTTTAACTTCTCACCTGTAACCATTTCCGTTTATTGGCTAGGTCTTTCTCCTTCTCTTCTAAAACAGTCTTCATGGTATTCATCTGTTCCTCCTTTCCTTTTAATCTAACAATAAGTTAAGAACTATCAATGAAACTGTTACATGACTAAACAAAGTAAAAATACTGGAGACTGGAAAAGCGTATTTTAGGTTGTACTCATAACCCGAACTGATTAAATAAACTAAAAAATAAATATTTCAAGTATAAAGGCATATAAGATTTTGGAGATATCAAATTAAGCAGTAGCTCTACTCCCACCCCTTAACACCCTGTTTAAGTCAATACCAGTAAATTTAGCTTATCACAACTAGTTTGGGTATGAAATATATAACCAGTTTCACAGTGGCTATTAAAATGGGCAAAGAGCAACATGTCAGTTGAAGGTCACATTCAGTTTATAAAGCAGAAAAATAAGACTTCCACTCTATCCCCATTCCCATCAAAAAACCTACAGGTTCAATCCTAATGAAAAATTTAAGACTTTGAGGCCTTTGTGAGATATAATTTGATGTTCTTTTTTTTTTTTTTTTTTTTTTTTTTGCGGTACGCGGGCCTCTCTCACTGTTGTGGCCTCTCCCGTTGCGGAGCAACAGGCTCCGGACACGCAGGCTCAGCAGCCATGGCTCACGGGCACAGCCGCTCTGCAGCATGTGGGATCTTCCCGGACCGGGGCACGAACCCGTGTCCCCTGCATCGGCAGGCGGACTCTCAACCACTGCGCCACCAAGGAAGCCTGATGTTCTTTAAGATATTACTTGAAATCAAATAAAAAGGAGCTACAATTTTCATTATAATTATGTTTAACTTGTGGAAGAGAGATATTAAAGGGAAATGAGGCAAATGGTACTTACAAGTTCTGAAGTTCTTGAACTTGAGAAGTGATAGATAACTAAAATATAAAGAAAGAAGCAGAAAAAAAGCAATTCATAATCCTTTCAGTTTACCTTAATAGGCTTTATGGTAAACCTTAAAATGTGCACACTTCAAATTACAAAGACCTAGCCAAAATAGAGATGACTTGATTTCACCTTCTCTTGACTCCAATGACAGTAAGAGTAATAAATTAAATATGGGGGGGGGGGCAGGTAGAAGAGACAAGGAATATGGTTATGAATAAGTCTAAACAATGTGATACTTTTTTAAATTGTGAAAATTAGAATATTAACTGTTCACATACCTCCCTATCTTGTCAAAGCGCTTTTTCTTCCCAGTCTTCAAGGCCAACTACTCAACAGTACTCTATATTGTCCTTTAATCTCCTCTTCTTACCATACACAGTTCAATAGTACCTTTTATTCCCCACTGCCTTCTCACAGTCCCTTCAGATCTTGGCTTAGATGTCAGTTCCTCAGAAGGAGACCTTCCTGAACTCTCAGCCTATATTAGGAATTTAATCTTTTCCTCATACCCTATTTCATTCAACACATTATCTCCAACCACTAACATAGTACTTTGATAAGTAGGAGGAACTGAATAAATATTGCTGAATGAATCTGTTGGTTGGATGAATGAATGAATCATCTCTTCCACACAATCTCACCACTTTTTTCAATCAAACCTTATCAGATTATATTCACCAAAACCACCCATCTATTTCCAGTAACCACATCTACCTCTGAAATCCTCCAATGAAATCTGTACTTTCTTCTATAGGCAAAGGTTGAGCAATACATATTCTATAACAAAATGTTTTGGAACATGCAGTCAAAAAAAAAGGTTTACCAAAGTGTTTTTTTTTTTAAGTTGGCAAACTAAAATGAGACATTAATATAGAAAACTTTCCAGAAAAAAAACTTTAAACAGTTAAAAGATATGTTGATTAAAATATTAAAACATTTTCTCAAATCAGGCAAAAATAATAAAAAGCACATAACCCAATATACTTACAGCACACTACTAAAAGTTTTCTTCTGAGTAACAGAAAATAACCAAATAGTTCATTAATACACATACACTAATGAATCTGTCATGCTATGGCTCTGGGATTTTTACCTGTTGAGCCTTTTCAAGCTGGATATTTCCTATTTCTTCTTTTAGAGCCTCTATTTCCTGTTTCAAATCCTTGACAATGACAAAACAGACAAGATTGGACAATGGACACACAGAAATTGACATAAAATGCAATGTACAGACAAACACATGAAATTAAATGGTATTCACTAAAGTTGATAAACAAAAAAGCAAAACATAAGTTTTCTCTCTCTCAATACCTGAATAGTTTTCTCCTTATTAGCAACTTTGAGAAGTTCAGCTTCCAGAAGCTCTTCCACAGACTTGATCTTCCCATCTTTTTCATGGATCCTTAGATGAAGAAATGCATTATTAAACTTGGGGAGAAATCATCAAGATCCACCAACTAAGATATAAAAATAGTACCAAATCATTAATAGGCTCACCAAATCAACTCTTCCCATTTTAAGTAAAAGAGCAACCATATTTTGCAGACAGAAGGGGGAAAAAAATACTTAAAGCTCTTCCTAAATGAGAATTAAGCAGTAACTACCAGGTGGCTGAAGCCTATGCACGCAAGGAGAAGCTGGTCACATGTTTCCAAAGTGCACAGGGAATATAAGATTTGTACCCCAAAGAATACTAAGGAGAACTGAGTTCCTCTCAACAATATAGGTTTCTAGGGCTCTGAAAGCTATGGCCAAAACTTACATACAATTATGGTATTAAACTTTATAGACACTTCAAGAAAACAACACATACAAGGAACTGATCTCTATCCAATATAACCTGTTCGTTAACAGTTCCTAGTGCAGAAACAGAAAATTAACAATTTGAGGCCGCCAAGTTAATAAATGGAGTCAATCATGGAAACTGATTTTTTAACAACTGCACTGGGAAAGCACAGCTAAGTCTCCTTATTCCAGCAATGAAAACTCCTAGCCATCTTAATTACACAATAAAACAAGATTTATGAGCACTAATAAAACTGGACCAAAAGAAAAAGACCAGTTTAATAATGTCATTACTTACACTTTCTTAAGTTCTTCAACTAGTGATGCAAAGGAAACCTAGAAATAGGAAGGTATCCTACTTGGTAATTTGCTCAAAATATAAATGGGTCATAAATAGAAAAGTATGTTGTTCTTTAAATTTTCCACTACACCAAAACCCGGGAAAAGTAAACCTGGGAAGCAATTCTTTCTAGATTTTTTTAAATGTCATAATTATGAAAATGAAAAGCACTTTGAAAGTAAGCAGCTTTAAAGCTACTTATGGTAAGTGTAGGTCAAAAGAAAAACCAATAGATAAATATTAAAATTATTGACTCAATGATTCTAACCAGATAAGGAGAAAATAGGAAATTTCCTAACTTCAGGTAACCTCTTTTACTATTATTTAGAGTCTTACTTTATATATGTATACTCAAAACCTTTTATCACTATAGTAACAAGCAATGACATCCTACCTAGAATACTCTATCCAGTGCCTGGCATAAAGTAAGCATTTAATAAGTTGCAGCTTCTATTACTGATAATCAAGTCACCAATCATTCACAGATTAAAAGTATAATGGACAAATTCCATGTTGGAGAAGGGAGGAACAAAAAAAGGCTTGCTGCTATATTTGATAACAGGTTTGCCCAACGTTTAAAAGAGAATGGTTGCAGGATCCACTAAATATATTACCTGATCATTCTGCTTGGCCTTTAAGTCTTGAACTTCTTTTGTCAGAGATGAATTTTCTGTTCTTATTGCCTTTTTCAAAGACACATAAGCACAACATACTTTTATTTTCTGAAAAAACAGCTAGCTTCTCATTTTTCTCTAGCTGCTTCTTTTCCTCTCTGAAGGCTCAGAAATCTCAGTTGCTCTATATGTCTACAATTCTGCAACTTCCAGAGCTAGCCAAATGGACTTTAATTCAATTATCCTCACAAGTATTTCTACTTATGTTTCCACAACCTGAAAACCACACAGTATACCACTTGTCAAGTCACTTCTCTCCCTAAAATCAAATATACCTTTTACCTTATTTCTTCCAGCAATCCTATCCAAATTAAATTAGTTAAGGCTAATGATAATCATAAAATAAAACTGCATTCTCTCCATTCTATGGCCTCCAATACTATTTCATGAACTTATCAAGTCCACTAGTTATTCTTGTAACTAGCTGTTGTTTGGTTATAATTCGGGCATGGGTGGAGGTGGGGGAGCATATATTACAAACCATAACAATAATATCTACTTCATTAAGGCAATGAATGCTATAGGTAACTACACATTTTTGTATTTATAATAAAATCTTAAATTTAATGAAAAAGGACATCATATAAATTCATAAAATGTGGGTAACTAAAAGGTATGGGAAAAATATTACACATTACAGTAAAACCGCTTCATGTTCACTGAATAGTCATAAGGAAAACAAATATACAAAATTCTTTACATTCAGTTCTTCCTCTTTAGTGGCCACCTGAATAAGTCCAGTTTCAAGTAATTCTTCTACAGTCTTCAACTTCTCATCTTTTTCTTGAATGCTGAAATTATAAATTTAAAACACATGTATGAACTATTTTCAAAGAAAACAATATGATTTCTAAATAAATATTTTACATGGATCAACTCCTATGCCCATTGTTCCTTATAAACTTTCAATTCTAGAAAGGTTTCTAAGGATCTTTGGTCATGGTCCAAGGGTAGTCCCTCTTTACCAAAAACTAAACTGTATGCAAGTAATGCATGCTTACATGCTAGCCTAAACAAGTAAATCATGGCCACACATGACACCCACAAACTTAATGTAATTCCAAATCAATCAATAGTACACCACTCTCTTCCATTATGAAGTACAAACAGAATTTTAAGAATTTAGATTAATATAGTTAATAATTCTGCTATCTCAAACTTGGTAGAAATGAGTCATTAAAATATTTTTTAAAAATTTAATCTCTTACCATCTTTCCATTTGTTCCAAAACATCTTTTTTAGGCTAAAATAAAATCACCAAAAAAGAAAAAAAAAAAAAAAGAAGATTAATTTTACCAAGGCTACATGAGGTAAAACTACTTCAGAAATAGAATTCTATTAGTATTAATTAGATCCAAAATTTAGGAAGATGATCCATGTTTGAAGACTGCTAACAGTTAAAGAATTACTGAATTCAGAAAACACAAGACAGGGGCATCCCTGATGGTGCAGTGGTTAAGAATCTGCCTGCCAATGCAGGGGACACGGGTTGAGCCCTGGTCCGTGAAGACCCCATATGCCATGGAGCAACTAACTGTGGCCGTGTGCCACAACTACTGAGCCCACGTGCCTAGAGTCCGTGCTCTGGCAAGAGAAGCCACCGCAATAAGAAGCCCGCACACCGCAACGAAGAGTAGCCCCCGCTCGCCACAACTAGAGAAAGCCTGTGTGCAGCAATGAAGACCCAACGCAGGCAAAAAGTTAAAAAAATAAATAAATTTACAAAAAAAGAAAAGAACACAGGACAGAAAAGACGAGGCTACACAAAAGACACAGAAAAAGATGAAGTATAAAATAGGCTGGCAAAAATGAACTAGTCCCTTGTAAGTTTTCAATTACTATAAAAGAAATATTAAGGATGAGAATTTGCCCCTCCTTTACATTAATTCTTCAAATCTAAAATTCCAAGGCTCTAAGGCCTTGCAGGCCAAGAAGGAGGCTTTGTTCCTTTTTTTTTTTTTTTAAACTAACATATAAGGCAAGTGCACAAATCCTGTGTACAATTCAATGAATTTTTAACATGTAGATTTCACATAACCACCACCTAAGCCAATATACAGAATGTTTTAAAACTGATTGTAGGGACTTCCCTGGTGGCACACTGATTAAGAATCCACCTGCTAATGCAGGGGACACTGGTTCGATCCCTGGTCCAGGAAGATTCCACATGCCACAGAGGAACTAAACCTGCGAGCCACAACTACTGAGCCCGCGTGCCACAACTACTGAAGCCCACGCACCTAGAGCCTGTGCTCTGCAATGAGAGAAGCCACAGCAATGAGAAGCTTGCACACCGCAAAGAAGAGTAGCCCCCACTCACTGCAACTAGAGAAAAGCCCAGGCGCAGCAACGAAGACCCAATGCAGCCAAAAATAGATAAATAAATTTATAAAAGTAAAAAATAAAACTGACTGTAAAGTGCAGAAGCAACACAAGAACGTATTCTCCTTGCTACATTAAAACATGACATGTGAGCTGATCCCAACCATTCACCCATCCTTCTAGCATCCCCCCCATACACTTTACAAAGTCCTCAATGTTATATTTACTATGTGTCCAGAAGCAAGGTTTCCCCCTCAGCATTCCTAGGTCTTCAGGCAGCTAAGCAACCTGACAAAACAGATTTGGGGTCTTTTCCCCTTCAACATTCTCTTCTACCCATCCCATTCCCTACCTGCTTTCTCCTAATTTTGTTGGTTTCATAATTTTTTTCCAATTTTATTACAACCATTTTTCACAAATACTATTAATTTTTCCATTACCAAATCCAAGTCATAAGATTCCACTTTCAACGTATTTCTAAAAATTAATCCCCTTTTCTTCAGTGTCTTAGGTTAGATCCTCAGCTTTACTCATCTCAAATATCACAATACCCTAATTCTTCTCCCTGTCTCTAGAGTTCATAAGGACTATACTGTGAGAGGTACAGGAGAACTTCCGAATGGGAAAAAAAAAACTTTCCTACCATCAGAAAGGACATAGGAGCTGTCAAAAGTACATTAAATCATGTTTATAAATTGTGAAAAATAAATCATGCAGTAAGTTTATAAATCTTTCATCAAGATGGCTTTCGTCCATCTTTATTTTTATTTATTTTTTTAATAGATTTTTTAATTGTATTATTTTATTTTATTTATTTATTTATTTTGGCCGTGTTAGGTCGTCATTGCTGCGCACATGCTTTTTCTCTGACTGTGGCGAGTGGGGGCTACTCTTCATTGGGTGCGCAGGCTTCTCACCGCGGTGGCTTCTCTTGTTGCGCAGCACGGGCTCTAGGCGCATGGGCTTCAGTAGTTGTGGCACGTGGGCTCAGTAGTTGTGGCTCATGGGCTCTAGAGTGCAGGCTCAGTAGTTGTGGTGCACGGGCTTAGTTGCTCCGTGGCACGTGGGATCTTCCCGGACCAGGGCTTGAACCCGTGTCCCCTGCATTGGCAGGTGGATTCTTAACCACTGCACCACCAGGGAAGCCCTGTCCATCTTTATTTTTGATGCATGTCATCTCACATAAAAACAATACAAAGTAGGTGACTATGTATGGTGATAGACATTAACTAGACTTACTGTGATTATTTCACAGTAACACAAATATAGAATCATTATGTTGCACACTTGAAATTAACATGTCAATTGTATTTCAATTTTTTAAAAAAGACAACACTATTAAGTCCTAGTTATATGCAGCTTGATCATTTAGTTGTATTACACCTTTAGTACTGCATACTTCACTACCACATAAATTCAAACACCTCATGGTTACCAGAATGATCCAACTAAAATACTAGACAAAATGCTGATTCATTCTTTCAACATCCTTCAGTAGCATACCACATTCTAGATCAAGCTCATGGTCCTTACACAGCCTACAAAGTCCTTCATGATTAGGCCCTAGCAAATCTTTCTCTTCCCCTTAATACCTCATACTTTGCACTTCCACAATATGCCAATATGCTCTGAATATGCCAATTTGGCCACACTGCCATGACTTTTAACACTGTATGCCCTCAGTTTGGATTGCCCCTTAGCTGTTCAGCAAATTCTTGGCTATTTTTCAAAATCAGGTTTAGCTGTCCCCTCTCTGTGGCACCTCTTACTCTCCTTCAGATAGAAGTATCTCTTCCTCTAAACCTGTACACACAGTTTAAAATTTTTTCAAAAAAAGAATTTTATTCATCACACTTTTCTGTGTGTACACCTATCTCCACACTACACCATATTCTTGGGGCAAGAACCAAGTCTCATTCATCTCTGTAGCCTTAGCATTGTAGCACAGTACCTAGCATACTCTCCATTAGTAAAAATTTAATGGACTCAATATCCTTTAACAAGGTTACAGTTTAACAAGTACTTTTGGTCAATTGCTCACTGAATGTTCAATTGCATGAAATCGACCCAACTTAGTTATCTATCCAATATTTTACCTTTATACATTATTAATCTAATCCAATCCAATTTTCTCCTCCGTGGATGACTTTCAAAACTACATCATACAACAATGAATTATTCTGCAATAAAACAGAACCAGACTGCAGGGCAAAAGAAAAAAACTTCCTACTGCTACAGTTTTTACTTAATAATCTTTATCTTTGAATCTTAAAAAACTACTAGTAAAAAGTCATGCTGTTCCTTTGCTAAAAAGTCAAGATGCTCAAAACAAATAAGACACCTCAGGACCTTCCCCCACAAAAAGTATTATTTTATTCTGAAGAAATGAGATCTTAGTAACTGATTTATTTGTATGATCTATCCATAGGCCTACATCCAAATGGAGTCTTCTCTTCTCTAGTATATAAACAGGTTACCTTACCTGATATTTGCTGTCTTTCTGCTTCCTACACCTAAAGAAACAACAAAAACTTGGCACCATTATTGGTTTGTGCTTCAATAAGCTCAATTTTTTCCTCCAGGATAAAAATCCATGGAGCAAAGAGACTGAATTTTTTTTACATAACTAAACTGTTCATCTCTCAACTGTCACTTGGAATTCTGACCGCTGGGTAGGAAGGGGTTAAAGAAAGGTGGAAATGAAATTTAAATTATGCTAATATTTATCTCTTCCTTCACTAGCAGTGGCAATAAAAATGACCAGAGGAGGGCTTCCCTGGTGGCGCAGTGGTTGAGAGTCCGCCTGCCGCTGCAGGGGACGCAGGTTCGTGCCCTGGTCCAGGAGGATCCCACATGTCGCAGAGCGGCTGGGCCCGTGAGCCATGGTCACTGGGCCTGCGCGTCCGGAGCCAGTGCTCCGCAGAGGGAGAGGCCACAACAATGAGACGCCCGCGTACCGCAAAAAAAAATAGACAAAGCAGAAGAAAAGATTAGTGAAATTGAAGACATGGCAATAGAAGAATGAAACAAAATGAAACCCAGAAGGGAAAAAAGAAAGACTATTTAAAAAAAAAAAAAAAAAAAAAAAGAGCTTTCGGAACAAGGAGGAAAAATTCTAAGAATTACCAAAGAGCAAGTCTTAAAAGATGAGTTTCTCCTCTTATCAAATAATTCTTTTAAATAAATTTTAAAATGTGGCTATGAAATTATGTTCTGTGGACTGTTCTTCATAAAACTATTCTTCATAAAAAAAGAATCCATCTCACGCTAAAAGTTATGTTAACAGAATATTTAAAAATACACAGAAGCTTTATAGTAGACAGAAGGCTGATTCAATAAGAAAGAAATTAAAACAACAAGATCCTGTTGTATAACATAGGGAATTACACTCAATATCCTGTAATACACCATAATGGAAAAGAATATGAAAGAGAATATATATATATATATATATATATATATATATAAATCACTTTACTGTACACCAGAAACACAACTGTAAATCAACTATACTTCAATAAAAAAAATTTTTTTTAATAAAATACAATTCAACACCCCCCCAAAAGAAAGAAACTAGAGGAAACAAGGTAATTCTTTGGCTATCATGTTACCTTAAGGGGAAAAAAAAAAATTAAGGCTAATGGTTTTACTCTTGTCTAATGATGAAGAATATCATTTTTAGTATAGAATAAAAGTGAAAAGAAAAGATCGAGGTACTCTGTTTAAAACTAAGAATTACCATCACCTTTAATACTGGAATTCTAGGGTAGATTCAGAAATTTCTAGGCATTTATTTTACCTCCCATGAAGTGAATTTTAGAAAGTTTAAAACTTTATATATTGAAATAGGTGTTCCAGAATCTCTGATAACCAACTCAAAAAAAGGACTACATTCTGCTTTTCTGGGTAAGAACTAACACAGCCAAAAAATATCTATCATATTTTATCTAATCCAAGTCACCAATGTTGGATCTCACAACTGGTAAAATGTTTACATAACACTAAAAATTAAAGATGCCTCCAACTAAACTGTAACCGGAGACTAAGATACATCCAGACTTCAGAGATAATAAACTGAGGAGAAAAAAATTCTTACAGTTGATGAAATATCTTATCTGTTAAAAGCTGTATAACAACAAAAGGAAATAGGAATACGATTTAAGAATAAAACTTAAATATCATTTGAGCATTACACTGGCATGAAGTCATGTCCACGCACTAAACATCATTTATTCAGCATTTTCTCCTCTATTACCTTTAGTTTGAATGGGTAAAGCATATACAAAGTTTATGCAAAGCACTTAAATACCATATTTGTGGGGGAGGAAAACAAATAATGGATTAATTCTTGACAAGTAAACAGATGTTCACAAAATACTTCTAAAATACTTCCACAACATCTGGCACAGCTACTTATACCAATTCAATACCTGCACAGATGTGAATTTTAAAATAAAAAAGCATGCATCTGCTAAAGGAAGTGCTATATCATTTGCAATAACTTACACTTCAGCTTCTAATAAAATGTGTCAAAATTTAACAGTAGTAGAGAAACATGCCTTCATTTTACTGTGTCATATAATATGAAGTGTTTCTAGAATATTTTTAAAAACTGGAATTTGAAGAATTATTTAGAAGAGTATGAAGGCAACTCTTAGGAACAGCCACAGAATAGACATCACCTGGGGCTCAAGTTTATGGAGCCATGCTTATTCAGGCTGCTACAGTTCTGATGGCTTGCTATAAATACAGAAAGAAGTATGATGGCAATAGAGGGTGGAGATGAGATGGAAAAAAATAAATATTCTAAAGGAAAGGAATTAAGGCTTAAGATGTCTGCTATATGCAAAGCACTAGGCTACTCAACTATACATAAACTCCCCAATTTAAATCTAACAAGCTTATAATGTAAATAAAATCTCAATGTAGAAGACCTGGAATGAGAGGTCTTAGAAAGGTTAAGCAATTTGATCAACATCACTGCTTTTAAGTGCTGGTAGTAGGTTTCAAACCCATTCTCTTTTTAAGAATCCACACTGCTTTACAGAAAAAAGTGAGGCTGCAAAAGTCTGACTATTATCCTGAGAGCCAAATGCATCAAAATGACTTAAAGAAATTATTTTTATGCATCCTATTAAACTTTTTTTTTTTTGAAAAATGCTATAAACAGCATTAGCTTCTTCTCAGGAAGAGAAATTAAATTTTCCTTAATTTAGAGACTTGATTAGCACAAGATGACTAGAAATGCAATTAAAAGGCATATCTACACTTAAACAAAATTTCTAAAAATGAACGAGTTGATTACTACTTAAGAAGAATCAGACCTTGTTATCTATTGGATATTTCTAACTTATAATTCATAAAAAGCCTTACCTGTTCAGAAATAAGAGTCTGTAGCTTCTGAACTTCTAATTGTAATGCTTTCTTTTGGTCATTTAGAATCTAAAAGAAAGAATCTCAATTTACTGTTTTATTAAGAAAAGGTAACAAAGCAACCATCTGAATGTTTTTTAAAAAATCAAAGCCATATTACTGTTAAATACTTATAAAGTGACAAGTGAATTATATACTGACCTAAGAATGCAAATCTCATGAGGCTCCATTTTTCAGTTTCAATGAACATATTTCCAGAGAACAGGAATACAGTAATATTATAATGTACATATACAATGATCTATAAAAAGTTGTTTCTACTGAGCCCCCCTAATTCAGTCATGTGGTTTATCCCAAACAGTGTTAACACTGTGCTTAGAACCCTGACATGTGTATTTCAAAGAGTTTAATCGTTTGTGCCAATGAATTCTGGGAAACCCTGCTTTCATAAGTGAGTACTTACAGGATTCCTATTAAGCAAAAAAAAAAAAAAAAAATTAAAATTAAAATTAAAAAAAAAAGCAAATCTTACTGCATGCAGAGATGTATCCTGGCAATCAGAATGCTTTACAATAATCCTCAAGCTGTTTGGCCATGACCAGAAACTAGCACTACACCAACAATGGAGGCAAAAAAAACCATCTCAATCTACCAAATGAAAACTGTAAAGAAAAGGTTGGGGCAAAACAAGTATCAAAAGTCTACTATAAAAACAGGTAAGTCAAAATCATCAAAGCAAAAAGTCTATGATAAAATTGTTCATAGAAGTCCCCAAATAAACTATAGAAACACTGTTTCAGAGTGATCACATATAAAAGAGTAGTATTTCTACATTCACTGCAACTGAAAATTACACAAGTTTGTTCAAAGAAAGCTGAGTTGACAAGTTTAATTACACACCTTAAATTCTTCCATTTTGTTTGAAATTTCACATTGTAGCTGCTCTTCAAGCAATCTTATTTTATCATCCTTAACGTGAATACTATGAGAAAAAAAAATACTTCATATATACAGAAAGCTTACATAAATTATGTGCACAACTATCAGCTATAAGCAGCAATGTCTTCTGTAATTACACTGGAACATAAATGTATGAACGGCCCATGTACAGGAATACTTTAATCACCTTTTTTGCATCTTCTCCAGTTCATGTGCAGCAGCAGCCTGTTAGAAATGAGAATTGTATCATTCCTCAGGAAGCACTCAAACCTATTCTTTTACTTATTTTTACATATTGAAGTTATATTTTCATATATTTAGAGTAAATAGTTAAATCAACAGCATACATTACAGTAATATTTTTTGCTGTCCAGTATTTTTTACTTCTCACTGTTCAACTTTTATCCTAGTTTAAGGTATATCCTTTTCTGATTAAATGGCAGAAGGCTAAAACAAATCAGCACATCATAAGTGTTATAACTGAGTTCTCTGATAAAGTGATCAATTTCTTGGATCAAACATTAATTTCAACATGAGTATAGTAACATTTAGGTGAGTTGTGAGAGTCACGGTCAAACAGAAGAGGGTTTGGGGCTTCCCTGGTGGCGCAGTGGTTGAGAGTCCGCCTGCTGATGCAGGGGACACGGGTTTGTGCCCTGGTCTGGGAAGATCCCACATGCCGCGGAGTGGCTGGGCCCATGAGCCATGGCCGCTGAGCCTGTGCTCCGCAACGGGAGAGGCCAAAACAGTGAGAGGCCCGTGTACCGGGGGGAAAAAAAAAAAAAAAAAAAAACCGAAGAGGGTTTTAACAACACACCATGCAGCCAAACACAAGTAACCATTATGTTTACTATCTACATAAGTAAAACTAAGGCTTGCAATACCAATGAAAATAAGTGTCAACAAACTGTAATTCTAAGGTAAATGCTTAAAAGCAATAAAGATCTACCTGTTCATTTGCCAGGGCCTGTAATTTTTGCACTTCAGCTTTTAATAAGAAATTCATATTCTGTATATCCTAGAACAAGAAGGAAAAATAGTATTAGAAGTATTTAATATTAAATTTGAAGTTCTGTAATGTATCTCTTCTACCTAAGCAAAGGTCTCAAATTACAATTTCTTAAGTCAGAAAGAAAACCATCAACTTGTTATTTAACATATTTCCCAAATTATTATGAATAAATATCATGTGAGAAAAAGCCTTTGAACTTCTCTTAGAGAACTAAAGAGGATTTTGTAGTTTAGAAAAGAGGTAAGACACTTTTCAAATGAATTCTATCTAGAGTATTTTCCAGTCTTCACAGACACTCATACTAATTACTAGATCAGGGTAATTCAATGACTATAAAATACTGTAGCCATTTATAAGAATTACTGTACCTTAAGTTCCTCCTCTTTACTTGCTAAATGATCATGTTCATTTGCTAAAGAATCTTCAGTCTGTTTTATCTGCTTATCCTTTTCTGCAATCCTTTAACAGGAAATAGATTTGTACATTCAATAAACATTTAGAAGTCAAGTCACAAGTCAAAGGATTAGAAGCTTCAAATATGGTCATCCTTACTTAAGTAGTTTTTCACATAACCGTACCTTCCATTTCTGTAGACCATATCAGTTTAGTAGTAACTGTCACAGGCATTACTACAACTCCTTAAAATACATACCCCTATTTTAAAACTTGAGATCAAAGAAGTTAAGTAATTTAAGCTCACAAGCCTGGCAATCTGAAAAACAGATTCCAGGTCTTCTGAACTTAAGTGAGCCATGTTTAGGCAAATTATACAATACACATCAAAAAAAAGAACTTCATTTTGGGCATACCACCATATAGTTAGATACAGAGTAGCTACAGCTACTTATTAGACACAAAAACTAACTTCCACTAATCTCAAATCACAATAATCTCTTCCACATAACTGCTAAAGCCCAAAGGGAAAAAAGCTTCCCCAACTCTTTTTATGACAAAGACATAAAAACACAGAATACATAATGCTTAGGGGTAGAAGAGCAAAAGCTGCTCCAAATCTACTTGAGAGTATTTTTTGAACAAGTTAGAACGTAAAGTCAATCATAAGTGTAGAATCTAACAGCTATCAGTTAGTGGTGACTAAGCAATTTTAAGAGAAATATAGAAAGGCAGGCTTACACTTTATGTAACTCTTCTGCTAGAGCTGAAGCGGATGTCTAAGAAAGAGAAACAGTGTCAACATAAAAGCCCTTAAGAGAAAGTTTTAAAGTTGTACAATCATCATCACAATAAAGCTTTAAAAATTAAAAGAAATAAATGTATATAAAGTTAAGGAAGTATCTGGCTCATGATGAATGTTCACTAAATAACAGCTAATATTCTGAAAGTAAATTTGAACAATAACAGCCAGTATTGGGGAATTACACATCATAAGACATTTTTAATAAAGTAAGTTGACAGGTCTGAAAACTATGTAACTGCCAAGCAACACATAAATAGGAAAAACAGCAGCAAAGGCTATTTTTCATTCATGTGCTTCTTTTCCTTAGTAACAATTTCCAATAATGAAATGATACCATTCATGATTAAGATAAGTCGTTTGGTAATGCTCGTGTTCATCTTTACTTTTCAAAAGGTACTTATAGCATTCTCGAAATATTAAGTTTCTGATAAATTTTCTAGAACTACCTCTCATCTATAACTTAAGATCTCAATCCAATTTGAGTTAATAATTTACATATACACATACATCCATATACACACACCCTTTCCTATATTATATAATTCTTTCCCAATTAATTTTAGACTATAGTTTCTACAAAGAAAACAATTAGAAAAGAAAAAAATGGTTGCAACCTCAAAGTTTTGGGATTTCCAACTCGCCTGAACGTTAAAAACAACTTTTTAATGTTAAAACTACCTTTTGCACAGAAAATGACTTCTATTCTAAGCTATTACTTTTCCTACAAACAACTTTTAAAAGTTTAAAGTTGAAGAACTGAAACTGAAATTCACAGTATGTATATTATGGAAACAAGCTAAGTACTTACAAGTTTCTTCTCTTCTTAATGTTATATTATTTGTATTCTAAAGGCTATATATCTATATCTATCTATCTACCTATTTATCATGCTACATAAGAATGATGCCAAAGATTAACAGGTTTTACAATACCACCTAGAAAACTTTGGAAGGTTTCACACTCAAACTATACTGAAGTATAAATTTTAAAATGATTCTTTGGCATATATAACCTGAGAGCTTTGGTTAACATACTGCTAACACCTGAGGGTATACTAAGTTTTCCCTTATGGCTAGTCAATATTTAGCGAATACTTCTAAAACATAAACTATCATCCTTCACACCTGTTTTCTGACAGGATGGCAATCAACATTTTTTTCCTCCTAAAGTTAAAAACTCTCTAACCCACCTTCCCATTAGATTTGGATTTCTTCCGTAGTGTTTTCTTACAGCACTATACGTAATTATCAGAGTGCTTAGCACTTAGGATCATCCAGTTGATTCACTGACTAGTCACCCAACTACTAATCCAGTACGCAGCACTCAACAGGCACTCAGATTATTTACACAGCTAGGAAGCCATTACTAATGACAAGCAATAAGAAAGTACCATTACCTGGGCTGCTATCTGGGAATGGAATTGTTGAATTTGAGCTTTTAAAGCCTCATTCTGCTCCAAAATATCCTTTCATAAAGAGCAACCAAAAAGGAGAGGGAAAAGTGTTCTGTTAAATATACCAATGTATATGAACAAAATGAGTTACAGGTACATCTGTTTACCTTTAAAAAGGCACTCTTAGATTCCAAAAGGCGTCATTTTAAACAATGATTAGGCATTCTATTCTGAGAGCTCATTTACAAAGCAGAAATTAAGAATACATTGTACTGTTCCTAATCTAATGCAAAAAAGCATAAGACTGTGGGTAAAGGCATCTTTGAGCACATATTCAGATCATATTGTGACAACTGCTTGAAGATTAAATTAGAATTATTCATCCGCACTCCAGAATTAGGATAAGATAGGCTACCCTCTCTCCTCTACACAAGACACATCCAACCACTGCCCGTCTTTATTTTTTTTAAAGAGGGAAAATTAGATACCTGAACTTGCATTTGTAGAGACTCTTCTTTGTTCACCCTTTTTTGCTCCGATTCCATTAACTGCATTAGCCTTTGCTCCAACTGTTGTTTTGATACCAAGGTATCTGTAAGCTTACTATGCAGACTCTGTACTTCATTTTCTTTGGCCACAAATTTACTCTGTAAATCTAACAAAACATTGCATTTTATAAAGGTCTCTTCCTTGGCCTGGTTACTGCTACTCGTCGTTAGTGTAGGCACTGCCTCCTCTAGAATACTCTCCTTGAATCTCTCCTCTGCTTCCTGCATACGGCTCCCTTGAGCAGTCTATGCTTACCTTTTTCACAGCACCTGCCACACTGTACTAATTCACTTCCTCTCCCAGAGAGTGAGCTTTTTGAGATCAGAGATTGCCTTTTCCCTATACCCAGAGCTGTACCCAAGGCTTGGCACAAAATACATAATCAATAAATGTGTGAAATGAATGGTACATGGATGTTTAAAACTCTTATATCATTTCTCGCAAGCATTCTTTATTTCCCCAAAGATGCTTTAGTAAGTTATTTAGTGAAAAAAATCAGAGGAAACCAAAGGTCTACAGAGCCAAAACTCTGTATGATCTAGCCTTGTGTTTGGAACTATATTTTACTAGCTCTCCACCATTTTCATGGGAGGAAGGGGAGTAGTGGAAACATAGATAAAACACACTAATACAAGCTCCATTATTTCCTAAATGAATTAATCAAATTAAGAATAAGTAGTGAAAGTTAGCATTTAAGTAGGCAGTTTTAAGTCAACTACTTGGGGACTTCCCTGGTGGCGCAGTGGTTAAGAATCCACCTGCCAATGCAGGGAACACGGGTTCGATCCCTGGTCTGGGAAAATCCCACATGCCGTGGAGCAACTAAGCCCATGTGCCACAACTATTGAGCCCACGCACCACAGCTACTGAAGCCTGCGTGCCCTAGAGCCCGCATGCCGCAACTACTGAGCCCACACGCTGCAACTACTGAAGCCCACGCACTCTAGGGCCCACGCACCACAACTACTAAGCCCGCATGCTGCAACTACTGAAGCCCACAGGCCTAGAGCCCGTGTGCCGCAACAAGAGAAGCCACCACAATGAGAAGCTTGCGCACTGCAATGAAGAGTAGCCCCCGCTTGCTGCAACTAGAGAAAGCCTGCGTGCAGCAACGAAGACCCAATGCAGCCAAAAAAAATTAAGTCAACTACTTGGAATGGTAATGCTCTTGCTGTTTTTCTCTTCACAATATAGGAATGAGTCCTTCTTAGAAAAAAAAAAATTAAATGAAGAACTGATCAAGGAACCAGAGGGAATAACTACAGAAAGGGAAGATGCACAGGTTCCCATTACCCTATTTATTGACTATAACTTAATGCCTCAGACAAAACTAGAGAGCTTATTTTTAAAACCCTAAGAAATGTTAAAGAAATAAAAGTACTATGAAAGTGTAAAAGCTATTTTTATTGACCTATAACCAAAATGCCAATTTACACTGTCTTCACATATGGAGAGGGGAGGAAATTTTACCCAGAATTACATACTAAATTTAAATGAATACCACTTCCCCTTACCTTGCTGAGCTGCTTCATGCTCTGCTGTTCTCTTCCTAATATAGCTCTGGACTTCTTCCCACCTTCTCTCAGCTTCTTGCAGTTGAACCTGGAGAAAGGATAAGTCAGCACAAATACAGGATTCCAATTTAACGGAAAAAAAGCATCCTCTATCTTTACTGTTGTGACATAAAACTGCTTATTCCAACAACTAATCACTAGTCTCCTACATTTTAATAAGATAGGCAGATGTGCTCAGCCTGATAATATGCACAGATATTATCAGCCACTGCAATTCTACCCTCCAATACACACGATTTACAGATTGGAGATTATTTCAGAAACTCAATATTTGTGCTGATGGATCAATATAGCTACTACTATGGATATACCTGATCCACTTTGCTCGATGAGCTTTCCACTGATCTTCCTTCAGCTGATAGGCTTTCAAAAGGATAGTACCTTTATTGCTAAATTTCAGTGGGCACCTAAAATTCTTATTTTTAGGTATAGCACAACACTTCAATTATGACTATAATATTTAATGTCATTTATCTACTTATCCATATCCATAGAGCACAAACTTCCATATTTATAAATGCTACCAGCAAACACACCAGCAAGACAAATATTTACTGAAAGAAAGGACAACTATATCACTCTCCCACAGGGACCCATGAAAACTTCAAGAAAACAAAACTTATGCTATTTTCTGCATTCAATTATTCTCAAAGCCCTGTTAACCCCTACTACTCTGGAACTGGTATTAAGCTATATTGATTGTATCAATGACCGAGGTAAGAGTCTGTCAGATACATTTAACTTACAGAAATTGAACTATACGTTCAATAAATCCTCTCCCCAGTAAAAGGAGGAACAGACAATTCTACTCGTCACTCTACTCAATGTACACAGCCTAAAAAGTGCAAGAGAAATGAGTCCACTCCTCTCTCTCAGTCAGCCTGAGCAACCCCATGCGTGTCTTCCTAGTATAAGCACCTCATGACAGCAAGTGCCACTCTGGTGTCTAAAGAAACAGTGTGTGGTTTTTTCCCACTATGGCTCAAGTGAAAGCAACTGGAGCACTACTTTGTCTCGTGCTAAAGGAAAGGACAATCATCTATTCCAATGCTGGAATAAAAACAGGCTCTACTAAACTTACTGAGAAATCCAAGTTATGGATAAGCAATGTTGAAGGTGATTTTAACTACCTATCAAAAATTTGATTTTTGCCTTACACATTTAGACCCTAACCTCCATATATATGACGAAATTCTACTGTGTATGCCTGTCAATCAGCTAATTTCAATTTTCATATCTTCAAAAAGTCTTTAACTTCAAACTCAAGCCTATATTCAATTCTTTCATTAGTGTACACGTTTCTATACAGGCAGAGCACTAAGACTACAAGTCCCATTAAGCCTCAAACTACACTTCTCAAAGCTATATACACTTTAATGTCATTGAATTGAATACCTACATTATTTATGAAATGATAAAGGTAGGAATATATCACCTTCAACTGAGTAACTGCCTGCTCAGCATTCTTCTTTTGGACTTCCTCTTGCTGCAACTTCCCTGTTTTCTCAGTCAGCTCATTCACCAACCTAGCATAATCCTGGCGCAGTTTATTTAGTTCAGCGGACTGCCTGAAAACAGTAACTGGATTAGGAACCTTCCATTACTACAAAACACATATAAACAGTAAACAAAATATATTTTATATGAGTTATGCTGAGTTAGTAATTCCACTTATAGCTAAATGAAAATGAATGCTATAAGTGACTACTAATAATGAAGTTTGGTTGAGTGTAATCTGAATCATTCTGATGACAATAACACAAATTCTAAAATTACTATAAAATAATCAAGAAAAACAGATGACCATACACCATGAGCATGAATCAACAGTGTCACCCTCAAATCAGTGTTCTGAAAATCTATTAAAATCAACCAGTCAGAATATTTATTCTATGTAAGCATGCTACTAGTCTTCTCTTGGACTGTTTGTCAAAGTACAGCCCAGAGCCAACTAAATCACTATCACAAGGAATGTGTCTTAACATGCAGATTCCAGGATTCCACATCTCAGAGCCAATAAATCATAATCTTATAAGGGTAAGACTCAAGAATATGATTTTTAGCTAACATGCCAGATGTTCTTCAGAATAATGAAGTTTGAGAACTACTGTTAAATGGAATAGAAGGTTTAAAACTTGTAAATTCAGTCTCATAAATTTATAAACTGTTCCACTGGTGGCACTAGTGTTTGTCATACAGTTTAGCTGAAGAGGTTCTTCAAAAGCAAGAGGATAGTTTTAGAAAATTCATTTTAGAAACAAGTGTAAAAAACAAAAGTCTAACCAATTATTATCAAACACCATTTTGGTGACTGAAGAAAACACTATCATTCAATGAAAATACTCTGCCATTCTATTAAAAGTAAAGCATTTGCAAACATACTTGCTTTCTAGCTGGTTGGTAGTGTTGCTGACAGCATCTCTCAGTATGCCATTTTCCTGCTTCAAATGAGCTATCTCTGCCTCCATCTGCTCACGAACTTGCTGGAACTAAAATTATTTTACACACATAAGATTTAGAAAACAATGATTGCCAAAGCTAACTTCGAAGAAAATTTATTATGATGAGAATGTAAAAAATATCAATAGAATGAAGTCTGGATATCCTTTTCAAATAAATATAAACAAATGTAAGGGATAAATTTTGATAGTGACAAATACAAAGTAAACATAAGCTACCACAGCATTCAAGAATGCAAGTAGATGCCAGCTGCTATCACAGGCAAAATAAATACACTGAGATGCTGTTTTAGAACTAAAAGATGTTTTAGAACTCTTTCCTACACAATAGACTCACATAGAATTAATATGTCAATTTTGTGTTAGCAATATTTTAATGAAAGATTTTAGTAATCAAAACTTTAAAAACTGAAAACATGTTCAAAACATTTACATAAGTTACAGATTGAGCCATAGCCAAATAGATGGCAAATTCACTACACAAAACTCTACGTGCTAAAATATCTGGCTTCTTGATTTTTATTTCAGAATTACAGAATCAAAAGACAAAGAACACTGAATCTTGTATCTCCACAACCTCAATTTAGTATGTGAAATAATCTTAATAATTTTTAGTAAACCTATTCAATTAAGAAAATCAAGTCTATGTTTCTACTTTTCAGAGAACTTATCACATGTAATCTATATCCTGGCCTCTATAAGCAATCAAGTTGAAAAAAAGAATCACTTCAACACCCTTAACCTTCAATAAAAGATGTTGCTACATGTATCCCATTAATTTTCAAATGAACAGTAAGTCAGAATTAAGAAGAAAAAAGATCACACAAGGCCAGGAAAATCAGTTCTTCAATAATCTGGTTAATGGGAAAGAATATTTCAAATGGCTGGGGCCTGGGAAGATGGAGGATTGAGCCAAATTAGAGCATCGAAGTAGTGGATGCAGTGAGAACCTGAGAAGAGATTCATTCACTTCTTTATCGCTATTACTGGTATTTCCACAGAAAACACTGGAACTTCAATAGCAGTAAATTTTTCAGCAGACTACCAATGTGATCAAAGTAATATTTTGCAAATAAAAACCTGGTACTAATTACACATATTAGAAAGGAAATGAGAGACCTATTAAGGTGCTATAATTATGCTAGTATGAAATAATAAACTAGGGTCATATCTAAAACCTGAATGCAAGAATAACTCGAAATAAAGTATCTTTAAGATTTCAGAACAAACTGTAGATTGGGCAAGGGAGAGAGAAGTCAAAGATTCAAGCATAAGGATAATAATGCCTCAAAACATTAGAAAATAAAAACAACCTGACCAGAAGCAAGAGTTTGATTTTAGACATACGTTAATTTTGAGGTGACGACAAACACTTTCAAACTGAAGCATCAGCGAGCAATGTAAACAATTTCAAAAAGAAATCACTGGTCCACAAAGTCCAATTAGAGGGAGTGTTAGAAGCCCACCTGACAAGCAGACTGAAACCATGTTCTTCAAAACAACAACAAAAATCACTGGTCCAGACCTAACCGAAATCATGAAAATGGATAACCCTGTAAAAATAGGCAGTAAGCACTGAACCTTCTAAAATGTTGAAAGAAAACAGGTGAAAATAAGGACCAGAGAGAGAAGGTCACTTAGGCCAAAACCATTATCACTTTTCCTCTCTTCTCCACTCCATCATCAAGCCCTATCTACTATCTCTTTTTTATCAAACTCATCTCCTCATTATCAATGTCTGACTTAAGGTTCTTATTCTCTGACTTGGATTCCTGCAAAAGCCTTTCAACTATCCCTGTTCCACTCCACACTGCTGCCACTCTCCATACTATGCCAGAGTAATAATTTAAAATACTAATATAATCACACTGTTGGGTTGCTTAAACTCCTTCACTTGGCTCCCCAGTCTTCAGGGATATAAGGCCCTTTAAGACAAGACCTCTATCTATTTCTCTAGGTCTCTTCACTCCAGTCCTGATTCCCAAATACCACAACTCTTTACTGTATTTCTCACAAACCGTTATCACTAGACGACCTATGCTGAAAACACCTGGAGTGCACTCATTAAAAAGCACAATCCTAGGCCCCAAAAGAGACCTACCAAACCATCATCTCATGGGATGGGAAGGAATTACACCAAGTAATAAGTCTCATACCCAGCACCCATTTGTTCACTTGCTTTCCTAACAATGCCTAATTGTTTCAAAAGATTCAACACAGTCTGCTTCTCATTTCTAAAAAGTCTTCCCTATCAATCCTTCTCTTCCCCACCTCTCATCTGCACTGTTCCGAAGTACCTGGTGCTTACCTCTACTATAACAGCATATTTACTTGTCAACTTCCAGCCTCCCCAATAAGTTGCTTACTTAAGGACAGGGAGCCAGTTTAATTAGCCATTTGTACCAAAGCCCAACCCAGGGCACTTAAAAGTTTGCTAATTAAATGAATACAAATATTTAATTTTGTATTCAAAGAATGAAAATATACCTTCATCTGCATCTGTTGAGTCTCTTGGTAACTGACATGCATTTTGCTTTGAAACACATTATGTTCCTTTTCTAATGTTCCAATCCGATCTTTCATCCTTGCTATAACTACATTGCTTCTTTCTTTCTCTGCCATCATTTCCTAGAAGAGTAAATCAGAAAAAAAATATGAAAAACATGTTATTTAAAAAAATAAGAACAAGACTTTACTAAGAAGAAAACAACATCAGTAAAACAATCATGCATTCTTTTTTTAAATAAATTTATTTATTTATTTTTGGCTGTGTTAAGTCTTCGTTGCTGCGCGCGGGCTTCCTCTGGTTGCGGCGAGTGGGGGCTGCTCTTCGTTGCACTGCGTGGGCTTCTCACTGCGGTGGCTTCTCTTGTTGAGGAACACAGGCTCTAGGCATGCAGGCTTCAGTACTTGTGGCTCGTGGGCTCTAGAGCGCAGGCTCAGTAGTTGTGGTGCAGAGACTTAGTTCCTCCGCAGTATGTGGGATCTTCCCAGACCAGGGCTTGAACCCTTGTCCCCTGCATTGGCAGGTGGATTCTTAACCACTGTGCCACCAGGGAAGCCCAATCTTGAATTGTGAAATAAGTACTTGCTTAAAAAGCAAGGTCAAAGGTTTTAAAAAAAAAATTTGTCTTCTGCATCTTACCTGCTCTTTACACCAATTCCCTTCATAAACACTTAGCTGTTCTGTTTACTCATATTTCAAATGCACTTTCTGGTTTAAGAGTTAAAGACCTGAACATGGAATAAAATCCTACATTCTAACTTGATTATAAGAAAGAACATTTTTTTTTTTTTGCGGTACGCGGGCCTCTCACTGTTGTGGCCTCTCCCGTTGCGGAGCACAGGCTCCGGACGCGCAGGCCCAGCGGCCATGGCTCACAGGCCCAGCCACTCCGCGGCATGTGGGATCCTCCTGGACCGGGGCACGAACCCGCGTCCCCTGCATCGGCAGGTGGACTCTCAACTACTGTGCCACCAGGGGAGCCCCAAGAAAGAACATTTTAAAATCAAAACAAGGTAATTCTTCATTATTTCCAGGTACCAGCTCTTTTAGGGTACAGAATAGGCCCCCAGAAAAAAAAGAGCTGAGAAAAAAAGTCTTCATCCTAAGGTAAGAGATAAGGATAAGATATGTTTGTAGCAGAATAGGGAAAGTAAAACTCAGGAAGTTTTATTATCTTCCCAAGTCAAACATTAAAAGGGTAATTTCACTTTGAGTTGCAAGTATTGTGAACTCCTAGGATAAATATTAACTATTAAAGTGCAAGAAAGCCAAGCAACTTTAAAGTTATCTGCAGGTATGATCAGTCCATTTTCCCTGCTCTCAGAAACTGTTTGACAAACTTTAAGATTTTCATTTAAATAACAGTTTGCCCGTAAGAGTTCATTTACATTTGCAAATTGTTTTACTGATGCACATAATACATTTAGGAAAAAAGTATACACATCTTAAGTATACAGCTCAATGAGTTACACAAAAGTAAATAGCTTCTTTTTTTAATTTTTAAAATAATCAGAAAACTATAGCTACAGAAGACTACAGTAAAGTTTCTAATCTTAAGGAAACACTTATTTTAGCAACAACTTTGATTAATCTTAATCAAATGCAGCCAAAAATAAAATAATAAAAAAAAAATCAGGGCTTCCCTGGTGGCGCAGTGGTTGAGAGTCCGCCTGCCGATGCAGGGGACGCGGGTTCGTGCCCCGGTCCGGGAAGATCCCACATGCCGCAGAGCGGCTGGGCCCGTGAGCCATGGCCGCTGAGCCTGCGCGTCCGGAGCCCGTGCTCCACCATGGGAGAGGCCACAAAGTGAGAGGCCCGCGTAACGCAAAAAAAAAAAAAAAAAAAAATCAATCTAACCAAGTTTTCCACTGACTTTTTTTTATTTACCTCAAATTCACAGAAAAGATTTTATATTCAAATGAAGCCATTCTCATAACGTCATCAAGTAGCTACATAACGACAGTGAAATAAATCTCATTTAGTCTACTGTATTTAACACCTAAAAGGAGAAACAAGCACTTCGGGAAAAATGAGACCACATTTACTACAGAATTTCAATTATGTTCTCAGTCTACATGATTTTTTTAAATATAACTGACATAGAATATTATATTCGTTTCAAGTATACAATATAATGATTCAATACTCGCATTTATTGCTAAATCATCACCACACACAGTTACAAACTTTTTTTCTCGTTATGAAAACTTTTAAGATTTACTCTCGTAGCAACTTTCAAATATACAACACAGTATTAATAACTATATTCACCATGCTGTACATTACATCCCCTGGACCTATTTATTTTATAACTGGAAGTTTGTACTTTTACACTTGTTTAAGGCCTTTTTTTAAACCTCTCAAAGTAAATGGGATTTAAAGAACTTCACTGATTAAAAATTATATCACAAAAACCTTCATGAATAAACCACCCATGTAAGAGTTTCACATTTGGGCTTCCCTGGTAGTGCAGTGGTTGAGAGTCCGCCTGCCGATGCAGGGGACACAGGTTCGTGCCCCGGGCCGGGAGGATCCCACATGCCTCGGAGCGGCTGGGCCCGTGAGCCATGGCTGCTGAGCCTGCATGTCCGGAGCCTGTGCTCTGCAACAGGAGAGGCCACAACAGTGAGAGGCCCGCGTACCGCAAAAAAAGAAAAAAAAAAGTTTCACATTTGTCCCATAAATTGGATTTAAACAAGATCACACCAAGTTTTGTGCTTCTATAGAATAATTCTAGGTCAGAACCAATTGAAACATACTCCCAATGTCCACAGGTTTCCATTATTCAGAAATTAGTATACCTATAAGTACTGCTATTTTAAATTCACAATTCAACTGTAGGCTATAACAACATGAAAGAGTGAGACCCCATCACCACCACCTAAATTCTAAAAGAAAATTACTTTCACGTGGTATAAATCTACTGCACAAATAAATCAGGAATTATGGACAATTTCTAAAATCCTTCATTGTATCTGATTTAGAAAGTATAACCCTTAAATACAAGATTGTCTTCACCTGGGTTAACTGCTTACACCGATCCTTCAGAGCAGCAGCATCTTCCTTCAGAGCAGTAAGTAACTTGTCTTTTTCTTGAAGCTGATGTACAAGTGCAGTCAACTCTCCTTTATTTGACTACAATTGAGAAATCAATACAAAATTAGTTAATAGTAAACATCGGCTAATGAAAATTATGAAAATGAACTATCTGGTATCAAGTGTTCTTAGGCCAATGCAGAGTTCACTATTACATATAAAGTAGAATAACTGCTAAACACTGGTCAGTGAAATATCATTCAGAAAAATCACTGTATCATTACATATTCTGATGCATAAAATAGGACACATATCAATCAAGAAACAGATTTTTACAAAGAATTATGACTTCCATTTTTAAACACAAAATCAAGATAGTAATCTCTCCCTTCTCCTCCTAAAAGATCAAAAGAGGGGTATGAAATAAAATGCAAACTGAACCAAAATAAAACAAACATCTGTAACGTCAAAGCATAATATCAGGAAAGACTTCCAAAAGCAGTGGAGATCAGATGCTCAACAACCTTGTCAAAATATACCCAAGACTACAGAGGTGCCATGGGTACATAGTTCTCTGAAGTTAACAGGAATATACTGAAAGATAAAACCAACAATCCCCCATTTGACATCAGGAACAAGCACAAATATAGAAGGTAGGAATTTTCTTGGTAGGAGGTCTTAACAAGCCAGAAGTAGGAAAGAAGAAATCATACAGGTAAACTTTATTCAAAGAGAGCAGCTAATCAGTGAGGCAGAGTTAAGAGAGATCCTCTACAGTGAGACCCTCTGTAGTGAACTCTTATATGAGAAAAAGGAAAGGCTAAAAGAACTCATTTTCACACATAGCCAAAGGAGAACAGCTCGCCTTAGCCATTCATTATCAATCCCTAGCCACAGAGATGATCCAAGAGAAACACCCCTCACTGGAAGAGGAGTATTAATGAAAAAGAAATAAAACAAGGTCTATGTAAGATATGAGAAAAAAGGAAGGAAAGCAATAAGAAAAACCAAATGCCAAGTGGAGAAAAATCACCATAAAGATTGTCAAGAACAGACAAACTGTGATTAAAAAAAACGTTATCACTATGACTTTCGAAAGCCTAACATAGCAACAATTTCTAGAAAAACAAGAGCAAAGAACAGAGCTCACAAGAAATAATTCAGAGGAAAGATAAGACCACAGAAAGAGATGAAATATGAGCTGGCAAAGCCCAAAGTAGAAGTAAAAGTAACACCATCTCAGAAATACAATCCAATTAGAAGTAGCAAACAGGAAAAGACATGTTGCTGAAAACACAGGAGAAGACATAGAGTTCAGGGTGGAGAGAAGTAAATAAAAATAAGAGGAAATAAACCAAAGCTTTATTTTTTTTTAGGACAAAAATATGAAAGATAAAGACAATAGGCAAGGAAGATCCAACTTATGCTTAATTGATACCCATTATTTCAATTCTTTTAAGGGACACTGAATCTCATGATTGAAAAGACATGCTTTGCCCAAGGCAATACTGATAGAAGAGTCAATGCAAAGCCACATTATAGCAAAATTCCCATGACTTCAAAGAAGCTGAATCCCTTGATGTTTGTACAGTAGGGTGGACACTGGAAAGTCCAATAAATAATAAAAACTTGGTTGATTACCCAAAGGATGTTTTCATTGTGAGAGTTTATTTTGACAAAAATACATGAAAAGAATGCAAATTCAGGGGACTTCCCTGGTGGCCCAGTGGTTAAGACTCCAGGTTCCCAATGCAGGGGGTATGGGTTTGATCCCTGGTTGGAGAACTAAGATCCTACATGCCATGTGGCAGAGCCTTTAAAAAAAAAAAAAAAAAAAAAAAGAATGCAAAACTCAGGCTGGTCTCAGACTTCTATCCAGCGATAGGAATGTAGCGAATGGTAAAGCAAGCATGACAAATTCTCAAGGAAAGAAAGTGCAACCCAGAAAAATTATACCCCACCAAATTATCATTCAAGTACCAAGACAATAAAGCAGCATTTTAACTTGCCAGAATTTGGGAAATACAGGTTCCATAAGCCCTTCTTGAAACAATTCCAGAAAAAAAAAAAAATTTCAGCCAACCAAGAGATGAATACAGAAGCTTATGGTAAAAGAACTGGTATCAAGCTTTGAACCCAGCATTAAGCTACAGAATTAAGACTGAAACAAACATAAAAATTATAGTCACAAAACAAACATTAAATATTGTAAGGATGTGATAAACAAATGCTATAATTAACAAATGTAGAGAGGGAAGGAAGAGAGAAGGTAGGAAAAATTTTAAATAGACTTCCTCCTGTTATACAATATGGGGCCAAAATAGTTACTAACTTAGAGTTGGAAAAAAACCACATAATTGAGGCAAGTATATTTAAAGGCCAACAAGAAGAAATCAATAATCAACCAAAACTATCAATTTTTTTTTGCCTTTTCTATTTTTTTTTAATTGGGGTATAGTTGATTTACACTGTTATATTAGTTTCTGCTGTACAGTGAAGTGGATCAACTATATGTATACATATATCCCCTCCCTCTTGGACCTCCCTCCCAGCCCCCACCATGCCACACATCTAGGTCACCACAGAGCACCGAGCTGAGCTCCCTGTGCTATACAGCAGGTTCCCACTAGCTATGTATTTTACACATAGTAGAGTACCTATGTCAATCCTGATCTCCCAATTCATCCCACCCACACCTTCCCCCACTGTGTCCACATGTCCATTTTCTACATGTGCATCTCTATTCCTGCCCTGCAAACTGGTTCATCCGTACCATTTTTCTTGATTCCACATATATATGTGTTAATATACAATTCAAATACATTTTAAATGTTTTCTTACTAGTAATCACACTGAGTTAACATTTTTGAGCAATTATTTTATGCTAGGAACTCTAAGATAATACCTTATTATCATTCCCATTTTAGAGATGGGTAAACTGAGACACTGAGGTTAAGTAACTCATCTAAAGCCACAAAGCTCAAAGTGGCAGAGTCCAGATTTGAATCCAGGAAATCTGACCCTAGAGCCCAGGATCTTAACCTACACTCTAAATATACAACAGAAGTGTCTTATAGCTTAAACACAAAGGCATGTGTACATACACATAGAACATAACATCTCCTCTCCAACTCTGCAAACCCCCTCTAGCTTTTACCCTGTTTTCCCTTCCCATCTAAGCTTATTCAAAGTGGATACTATCACCTTTCCTATTCATTCATCACTTATTTATAGTCTAGTACTCCAATGAAACTGCTTTCACTAAGGATATCAAATCCATTTTTTCAATCCTTATTCTCCTTGATTGCTCTAAAGCATGTCACTGCTGATTTTTCCCGCCACCCCTGAACTCTCTACCCTCCCCAGGCATCTGTGATTCCACTGTCTCCTGCTGTTTCTCCTCTCACTATACTCTGTGGTGGCTTTCCCTGACCTTTAAATGTTGGTGCTTCTCAAGGTTCATTCCTGAACTTTCTTACCACTCTCCACATCCTCTCTGGACTAACATATATCCACTATATGTACTGGTGACAGTTGATTACTTTCCGAAATTGCCCACTTTGCAATATATTTTCAACACCAGAGAATTATATATTCAACTGTGAAATAATTATATCCATTTAAATGCTCCAAAGGATGCCTAAAACAACTTCCTAAATATTTTCATAACCCTCTACTCTCTCTTCCTTTTCAAAGTGCTCATGAATACCATTGTCACCACAATCTATCCAGTTACTCCAGAGCAAAAACAAGCATTCATTCTAGACTCTTCTTGAGCCACCATATCTAATTGGTCAGCAAGTCCTCTAACTCCTCTATCTCTATCCTACATCTATGCTTATATTCCTGCATTTATCTTCCCCCTTTCTCTGAAGTGGTCTTTATTAGGTGTGGGGATTCATCTACATCCTGGACCTTGAAATCTATTAAAAGGTCTGACCAAGAATCAATTTCCGTGACAGGAAAAGGGAGAAATTAAACTTACCAAGTCTTTCCCTGATAAGAGTGGATCTACAAGGGCACTGAGTCCCCGAAGATAAGAATAGAACCACACCATAAGAAACATAGAACAAGATTTTAATCGAAAGCCAAAGGTTCCAAGGAAAAGGGAAAAATGTAAGGTTTCAAAATATTTACTCTATTTCAAAACGTTATCTTTAACAGTTCCCAACTTCCTCCTTGGCCTGCCTAATATAGCTATCAAGGGGAGTCTGATTTACCACCCAACCTCTAGAGTTCAAAGCTGTCTCAAGCAATAAAATGACTACTCTTGCACCCATAAACCACCACCACCATCCTTAGTCAGAAGAGAAACACCTGAAGCAATTAATTTTCAAAAGCAGTGATTTCAAACAGGTAGTAACTAAATTCAGCTGGATGCTTTTCCCTGCAAGATTTTCCCAATCCTCACAAATAACCAGGAGCCCTTTTAAGATATACACTTACCCAATTAAAGTAAATCAAAAGATAAATTCTTCAATCAAGAACTTCAAGAACGTTCCTTGCAAGAGAATAATCTAACTTTGTATCCAAAGTCACACAGTTATCACACTTACTCTGATGATCCTCGAACACACTGTTTACTCTGAGCCACTGCTGGCACCACACGGAGACTGTCCAACAAGCATACTACATTGTAAAATGCCACAGATTTGTAAAACACGTTGTCAATAGATACTGGAAGTATGGACAGACATATGCCATGATAAATGCTATATGACAAAAAAAATTCAGATGGTTATGAGAGAGAAGAGAATAATTTAGACTAGGAATTCAGATTAGCCTTATGTGAGGAAATGTAAATGGAAACCTGATGGAGGAAATAACCAAGGAAAGAAGTTAGTGGGTAGGGGCTTGGGGGTTTTAGGACAGTCCAGACAGAAGAGAATATTTGGTTTTCTTTAATGAGGGGATGAGGAAAATGCCATGAGATCAGGTTATAGAGAGAGACAGACATAGGCCTTAAAAGGAATCTGGATTTTGCTTTAAGTGCAAAGAGAAAGGAACCAAAGGGTTTTTAAAGCAGTGATTTACCTCTTAAAGGCTGCCTTGCAGTTGTGTAGAAAAAATAGACTAGAAGGCTACGAGGGAATGCAGAA